CCTTGGTAGTGACACCTTTTAGTCTTATCTGTACCCATTTTATTAGGGCTGGTGCCCAGCCCTGTTGGCGGAGCCTAAGGATCAATCTCCGGCGAATTACTGCATCGAACACCCCTTATACATCCAGGGTAACAAGAAGGGCTTTTTGCCTGGATTCCAGGGCTAATTCTATATTGTGTGTGACTACTGCAGTAAGGTCGACCGAAGAGCGCTTAGAGAGGGCCCCGATTTGGTTTGGGCTAATTACCCCTCTTAGTAAGGCTGTTGTTGCTATCTGTTTTGTAACTAGCCTTTCTAAGCCCTTCCAAAGACATAATAACAGAGCAATCGACCTGTATGATTTTGTGGTAGTATAGTCCTTTTTCCCTGGTTTCTTGAGCATGCCTACCTCTGCTGACTTGAAAGGGGTGTGATGGTGCCCTGTTCTAAGGCAGGCTTGAAACAGAAGCCGAATCAGCTCAGCTAGATGGATCCATGCCGCTTTAAGGAGTCGTATTGAGAGAGAGTCTATTCTAGAGGTTGTGTTTTCCGTGAGAACTATTTTAACAAATTTGGTTAGCGATATTGTAAAGTTCTATTCTAATATAGCGCAAGGGGCAATAGAAATCCCTAACGGGTTATGTAGGAGGTTATCTTTGGCCGAGTGCCTGTCTAGTAAGGCCGTTTTGAAGGTATATGCCTTTTCGGTAGTGTCTTTTATGATCAAGTTGCCGACTTTTAATGGAGGTGATTTTATGTCCAGACCTAGTTTATGCCAGTTGATTATCTTGAAAAGGTCTGAGTTTTTTTGTATGCCCTCAATACAGGCTTTCCAATATTCTCTTTTTGCATATCGTACTACCGCCCAATACGCGCGTTTCTCTTCTGTTTATACCGAATTGCTTTGTTGCCAGCTTGTAGGTCCTTTTTGCTTTCCTACACTCATTGTCCTACCAAGAAGCGTTTTGTCTCTTGCTGCTTGGTTTGTTGCCAACGGTTTCAAAGGCTAGCGTGAGGAGGCTTATAATGGCAGAGGTAGCTTTGTCGAGTTCTTCTGTTGTTGTGATGGTTCCACCATCCATCAGGTTTAGTGATGGTCCCCATGGTCTCCGGGTCACGTGACTGAGCACGTGACTGATTGGACGATAGTTTGATCCATGCCCTGGTGGGTCTGGTGGGGGACGACTGCCCACATCTGTCTACCCACCAATTTGGGTGCATCTCCAGATCTTTCTTTTCCTTCAACCAGAGTTCGTTATACGTCAATAGTTAATAAGGGTCCCTGTATCCTTGCAATACATTTAGAAATCGTGACAGTTGTGGGGTTAGAGCTGAGGCTTGGTAGCGGGGTTCCCATACGTATTATCTCACAGAACTCTGGTAGTCTATCATCTGGTACTGTGTATCTCTGTTGAGCCACTTTTTGTCTGCTTTTGGATGGGATCGTGATTTGCAGTGGCCAGTGGTCTGCGGCTGCGTATAGATCGTAGTTAACTACTGCGGTTACAAAGGGGATGTTTAAAAAGGTCAGGTCAAAAACGTGCCTATCGTCGTGTATAGGGACTCCCGGTTCCCCAATGTACATGTGCTGGTTTTCTGCTACCCATTGTGTAATTTCCCCGCCTTGGGCTCTTCTTGGTCTTCTTGGTTCCCAAGAGGGGTCGTTTGTGTTGAAATCTCATGTTACTACACAGTGGACAAGAGGTGGCCAGACAAGCAGTAGGTCCAGTGCTTCCTTTCCTTGGCAGTAGAAGTTCACAAGTATGACTCCGTTTACTGTGAGCCAGATAATGTCTCTGGTCGGTGCTGGCCTGTTTTGTTCTGTCTCGAATCTGGCGTCCTTTTGTACATATGACAGAACTCTTGGCCTGTCTGATATACCCTTCCAGTGGTCTATCGGAGCGTATGCATCGTGTTAGGGGTATGAGTTGTAGCGGCTTTTCCTATCTACACTGACCCACGGTTCTTGGATCAGGATCACGTTTATATCCGCCTTACAATAGTTCTTTGAGAGAGCCATGTGTGATTTGTGCATCTTCTGGACGTTTCCTTGAGCAATTCTGAAAGGTCTGGTCCTCTGTTTGTAGTGCCCTGGCCGCCCTGTCCCCGGTTAGGGACCCGGGGGAGCCTAGTCCTGGAGGTCTGAGTGGCACTCGAAGCCTGAGCTGACATTATTACCAGTGTAATCGACTTGATTTTGCTGGCGGCGGGGTCTCCTTGCGGATCCTATGCCTTGCTGTGGTTCTTTTGAGAATGTGGGTAACTGTTGGATTCTGGGCTACGTTAGCCCATCCATAGTCATCCTTCAGGATCACCATCCCCACCTGTGACTCTGTCACATACGTGGCCACATAAGGCCACGTATCCTTTCCTTTAGTATCTTGGATATATAGGGCCACTCTGGCCGCTCCAGAGTAGCTGGAATTCCTCTCCTTAATAGAACACTTTGAAATCTCACAGTAACCCGGTCATCTCCGTATCCGCCTTGTCTAGGTTGTTGACTTCGTCTAGCCTTTCCTCTGAGGTAGATTTACTGTCTGTGGGGTTGGTTTCTGATGTGTTTATACTTGCCACTATGATACTGTCCATGGTATAGGTATTGGAACTGGGTGTGGTTTCTTCCTGGTAGGGTGCTGCGAGTACCGGAACTTGGTTTTAAGGAGCTGATAGGTTCTTTATGGTATTTATCTCGTTGTATAGTTTTAGACATGACTTCCTAAGCTTCTTCCTTTCCTGGTTTGAGGGGTGGATCAACTGGCCTCCTATTCTCTTGGGTCTGGCTGGGCAGTTTGTGTGTGTTGAAATTTTGGGCCCCATGCAGTTAGCACATTGAGGGGGGAGCGTGCATGAAGATATATGCCTTTCGTCTTCCGGTTTCCCATATCTCTCACAGCGGCTCGGGCGGGCACACTGCCGTGCAGGGTGCCAACCTTGGCATCCTGGGTTATGTTGCAAAGGAGGGTTCTTCTTTTTGATAAATCGAGACCTGAAATGAAGGCCAAAGACTCTAAAGGTTCCTATTTTTTTGGTCAATAATACTAGCTATGTAATTAGGCCGGACTTGTTGAGGCCGTTTTTTTATATACATGCGTTTAGCGGGCGGAGGCCGGTCTGGAATTCGCATTCATCTAAGGTCATTTCGGTTGTGATTTCTATGCCTTCAAGTTACATATTAATAAGTATAGTTGGGCAGTTCAGAAGGGCATAAGTTTGCCACTTGACGGGTAGTTCTATTGCAGAGGCTTTTATAAGCTGAGCCAGTTTTACTTTTTGTTTTAAGATCTTCCTTTATGCAGTTTTATCCCTTGGTTGAAGAGACAAGCTGGTAGGGTCTGCCACATTAGAAGCCATGAGGTTCAGCTCCTTGGTGATAATTTTCTTAAGAGTGTATGTGCTGATAGTTCTTGACCAGCCATATTGATCTTCTACCAGCCTTATGAAGATGCGGAGGTCTTCTTTCTGCGTCAGCGGTCGGGTCTCGGCGTGTTCCTTAGGGCCGTTTCTAGCTGTCTGGGGCTGGATGCCATTCCTAGTAACCCTTGCATACGTGGGTCGTACAGGGTTGTTTGTGGTTTTTGTTGGGTCTGTGATGGGGTGCGCTCGGGCACCTCTTTTATTGGGCAGGAGTTCTGTTACTGCTGGCTCTTGTCCTTCATTATTAGTGGAAACGCTTGTGCAGAGAAACTGAGAAAAGCTGGCGGCTATCTGTTAGGCGTAGGCCAGCTGTTCTGGGTCCTTTGCCACGGTCGCGATGGCTGTGTCGAGGGATCTGGCGATGAATTCCAGGATATCCGTTTGAATTTTCTCCTTGCGGCGTCGTTCCTTTACTGCTTAATGCAGGGCTTGTAAGGCCGAGTTTTGGGCCTGGATAGCGTGTATAGAGGCACTGAGACTATCAGGCTTTATGAAGAGGTTGATAGGGGTAGAGGCTATTCTAAAAACAGTGTTATTCTTGTCCTTATTATCCCTTCTCAAAAGCACTGTTAGAATTGGGGCCCATCATGTTAAATTTCTCTGTGTATGGAGCGATCTCAGACATCCGGCTGAGCTGAGGGGCGGAGGGTGCCGCTGCGCTGCGCTGTCCCTCAAGGGAGGGGTCGCAGGGACAGCGGCAGCTGATGGCTAGGAAGCCATAGCGAGGATCGTGAGATCCGGGGTTTGGTGTTTTGGTCAGTCGGAGGCGTCTGTTAGCGTAGTGGCTGGCTGGAGTAGGCTACCCACTAACAGTGGGCGCCAAGAAAAATAATTTTAAAAAGAAGGTGCAGTCACCACAATGTGTTTTCGGTGGCAACTGGCATCCACAACAGGTGAAGAGGTGGCCTCAAAAGTTCGCCTCTAATCATTCGCGCCGAACTTCACATCAGGGGATCAGACCAGGATGCCGTATATGCCTTGACTTACGGCGCAGGCGGCGCTCAGTTCAGGGGTCCAGGACGGCAATGATTAGCGGTTCCGCATGACGGGAAGTCCGTACTGTGCTTCTTACGCAAAGTTCCGATCTATAATTATCTGCATGGGTATGGATCTTAACGAGAAGTTCCCATGTGGACCATGGGAACCTCTCGCTGTGTTCATCTGGCCAGATCACACGTAGACCAATACATCCTTTTTCCTTGAGCTACAGCAGTAGCCAAGCCAGTGTGGCGACAAGGGGTGATACATAAATATACTTAGCCTGCGCTCTCGTTGGCGTCTTCTCGATCCGAGGTATGACTGAATTCCTGTAATCAGTCGCACCAGCCCCACTGTCCTATAATCTGAACGACCTTCCACTCCAAGGAGGAACAAATTGCACAATACACTCGCTCGATAACTGGTACGGGCGGCGGCAACGGTGCCATCATGTTATTGAAACATGTACTTTCTCCCTCCTCCCGGTGGCCTGCGCAGCCAGGGCTGTCTACTCCCCCGAAAGCCACCCGGGCGACGTCATCACTCCTTCATCACCGAGCTCAGACATATGGAAGCGGGGTTACGATCCATCCAGAGAGCCGGCCCCGTCCAAGCAGGGCGAAGTGTTAATGGGCGAGGTGAAGATCGGGGAGGGGCAGGAGGAGGCGTGGACGGCGGGCCTTGCTACATGCGCCGGCGTGGCCATGACGATCATAAGTTCCAAGCACGGGAAAATTGAATACAAGAAGGTCGTCGCACATATCGTCCCGGACTTTGGCAAATGGGCCTTGGACAGGAGAACCGACGGGGAAGACTGGGTCGAAATTGGCTGGCGCAAGCAGCTCGACGAGCTAAAGAAGCTCTGGCACAAGGTGGATGGGGGTCACGGCGATGAAGTGCAGGCCGTCATCAACATGGTGGACCTCAGTCAGTGGGCCGAGGGCAACATGGGGCCTTTCCCCAAGAAGGACAGGCCCATGAAAGACGTCGTGAAGGAGGCCTACGACGTGCTTATCGAGGAGGTCAAGGAGCTCGTTGGGTTCGCGCCGCAGATTGTGAGACACGACTGGGCTAGATTGGAGTGGCCATTGAACTCAATCTGTGCTTCGCCAACGAACGAGATCTGGGCAAATGGCGAACTCGTGCCAACTTCCAAGGAGACAGGAAACTAAAAATCCGTTCGTTAATTAGATCGGGAAGCAGGTCGCCGTGGGAAGTTTGCGCTCGTTTTCTGTATTGTTCGAAGGATTTTGCATTTCTTATGTTACATAGAGCATCTGGGTGTTCTGGGTTTGCGGGCTTCTGCTTTTTTCTATTTTTATAACACTGGCGTTGCGGTCGAGGGAGAAGATTGATAGCGATAGACGGTTATGCATGGCCAGGCGTCCCAGTTCCGGGCACGTGCTACCCATCTTCACATACAAATAGACGATCTAGCAGACAGTAGGCCATGAACATAGACATACCACCCTCCACTGTGCCACGTCCCTCTGGTCATTTCCCCTGGACCGGTGGTTGGTTGATGCACACTCCTTTCGTTCTGATATTCTGTTCAGAAATGTGTCCAGAGACATCTGAATGCCCTCATCATGTTTTTCTTCCAGAGCCACCAGCATCAGGTATGCTGCCGTCACATTCATTCAATCCAATCGGAAGCATCACAGTCACAAGAGTCAAGTCAAGCCACACTTTCCTCAACAGACAACATACAACAACATCAGCAGCCACGTTCAGATACGGAGACCAACACGCCAACGATTCAGCAATCAGAAGAGCACGACCATCACCACGAAACATCTCACGGGGGTCAGGCCGTACCAACATCACGAAGCCAGAAAGTGACCCGATGGGGGTTGAGAAAGGGGCCGACAAGCAGTGGTGAAGGAAGCCTCTCCCGCGCAGGCAGCCGTATCACACAGATATTACACAAGAGCAGCATGCAGCCACAACCTCACACCGACTTATCGCTGGCCGAGTATGCGGAGGCTGACATGGCTCTACCCTGCTCTCCCTTACCTGTAACTTATATCTTACACAACCGGTCTCCAGATGGTTATGGGAGTGGCCGGCAATACTGCATATCTAGAGTGATGCTTCTTCGCCAAATGGTCAAGATAGCTTCGACGCGTGAGCGCATAATCATCATCATTGTCATCATCACAGTCAAGGTGGTTGTGGCACATAGGAGTCAATTCACCCACCAGCCAATCTCTATACTACAGATCCGATCTACCACCCGGACGACTGAATCCTCTCTCATCTCGTGGATTTTTCTGGGGTGTCGTGATGCCAATCATGAACTTTTCGAATTTTCAGGGTGAAATGTAACCAGTCAACTCCTTGTGGCTACCCAGAGGGAAGAAATGCTCCAAGAGAAGACCGACGGCCACTATGAGGGGTTTCCAAGTGCAAAGTAGCAATTTCCCACTTTGACCACCAGTAGTCATTTTCCAGCAGGTGACAGTCATTTCTGAGCGGGTGAAACCCACTCCCTATGTCAAGCCTCCAATCCAAATGCAGACTATTGCCAACTCCTGCCAAAGCATCCACAATGTTGATGAGTCGGTTCTGTAACTCGTCAGTCAGTGATTCAATTTTTGGCTCCTTGTCGAGGAAGCTCACCTTCTGAATTTGTAATGGGAAAGACCAACGAGAAAACCTTGGAGGACTTATGCCATTGTCGGGTTCGCAAATGGAATCCAGGCCTCAAACCTGAGCCACAACTTCCTCCAGTCTTTGCGGCTTCCGTAGATGCACTCGGGACTACCAACCGCGGTCCCAACGCAAGTGTCCAGTGGTATCGGGCTTTGTCTCCGTGGGAAGGGGTCCCGTCTCCGTGGGAAGGGCCTCTGTTTCAGTGCGATGGTGCTCCGTCTCAGTCTCAGTGCGAAGGGGATTCGTCTCATTGGAATAGGTGGCCCACACAGGCTGTTCCTGAGGTTCATCCCAGTACTCAGTACCGGGAATCTCATCACCAAAATCGTTGAGTTTGCGGTTGGGTACGTTATAGCCCCTAAATACGCGGCTTGAGTAGCGAGAGTCGGCAGCTTCGTTAATCGTGTAGCTGTAGCCATGCTGCTGGGTTCCGCGTTCGGGCTGCTTCATCTTGCCCTTTCGACCACCTGCCTTCTTGTTTACCACAGTTCCACCGCGACCATTGACGGCCTGGCTTGACTCCGCCGAACGGTGAGGTGACAGACGTACTCCTCGACCAGTTGGATACTTTGGACCAGGGGATTGGACTGGCACTGATGTGTCCCGGGACTTTTCCGTGAACACGGGACCCCCAGTCACCACATTGTCGCCAACAGGTCCGCCCTTGGGGGCGTACCCCGGCTTGGCACTCGCATCACCCGCTCTGGGGTCTTTGGTATACTGTGACCAAGCCGTAGGACCCGTTCCTCCTTGTGCCTGGCCAGTCTGGTGGCTTTGAGCACTCTGCATGGTCATCTCAGAGCCCTTTACCGGAGCGGTAGGAGCAGCTGATCGAGCGGGTGCGGATACGCGTCGGGGCGGCGATTCAACAGTAGGGAACATGTAATCGCGTAGGTGGCTTAGGTGGTAATCCAGACGCTGCTCGTCGTCTCTCGCGACAGCATTGTGGTCTTCGGCAGCCTTGCGGCCAGAGTGTCCGACACCGTCGGCGGCAACTATGGTCTTGTCAATGCCTGCAAGGGAATGAGCATCTATCGGCTTCTGAATGCCGGTACCGTCAGGTCCAAGGCCTCGGCCAGGTGTCCAACCTTGCTCCTTCATGAGCCGATGAGCAAAAGGGTAGGCCTGCTTCAGCTCTTGGCCAAGACGGAATACGGACTTGGTGGGTGACGTACCCTTACCAGCATCTACCGTGTGAGCATGGAAGTTAACCGGCTTCGGCTGGTATGCCTCCTTCTCTTTCACAAACCCGGGCGTCGGAGCATTGTCGTTGAGAGAGACGTCATTAATGCCCTGAGCCAGGATATCCGCACCACCATCGTTGCGAGGAGTAGTGGCAGAAGAAGCGACTGCCTGAGCGTCTTGAGTGCCTCGAGCGTCCTGAGCGGCCTGGGCGTCCTTGGCTTCCTGAGCTCCCTGAAAGTCCAGGAATTCCTGAAGATCCTGAGCTTCCTGCTCATCACAAGCCTTTGATGTAGACATTCCGTCTTCTTTGTTTCCTGTCTCGTCGTTTCCAACTGGAGCAGGCGCGTCTTCGATCGCAAGAACCGGGCCGGCACGATCGATTCGGGACCAAAGATCCTCGACGAGCTTGACCAGAACGGCTCGTTGGATACCGGTTAAGAACCCCTGGGAGTCTAAGAAGGCCGAGATCTGGGTAGGTTAGTGGATGCCGTAATGAACCGCGTCCGTGCCACTGTCGGATTGATTAATTGGAAGGTTTCTTACAGAGCACAGTGATCTATAAGCGATAGTAGTTGCGTCCTGCTCGTTGACCTTGTCGGCAATGAAGTTGCCGATGAACTCTTTGTCGTCATCCGAGATGTTGGCCTCAGCCAGAATGCTGTTAAGCATCTTGAGGTGGAAAGACTCGTCGTCCATCTTGAGCAGGTAGTGGTACCTTAATCGGAGTTGTGACTCGTGGGGTTCCTGCACCTGCAGTTCAAGGGAAGTTAGTGATACGTCTCACGAGGGAGGGTAGCCACCACTTTAAGCGTATGACCCTCGGCCGGTGGAGCGATCATCGCATGCAAGAGGTAGCTTTGGGAAGTCTCTCTGACGAAGGTGGGTTGGGAGCACTGGCGAGAAGTAGCAGGAGCCATCAACGTCGCAGCGGCATGGTGCATTGGTGCATTGGTGGACAGGGAATTCACGATGCGAGGGAAGGAGTCGACCGCAGTGCACTGGGCTGCATATGCATGTCGCAACTGCAAAAGCGAACGCGCAAAGGAGGCAAGATGGGGAAGGTGCATCGGTGTGGCAGGTAACTTACTCGTTTGCCACGAAGATGCCGGAGATGGATGACGGATGAAAACGAAGATTAAACTCACCTTGAAACAAGAATCAGGCGCCAGTGGCAGTGATGTCTCGGTCGTGTTGACAAACGAGCCTACGCAGCTTGGTTTGTTGTGTGACGAAGGAGGGAAGGGAAGCGTCGCCTGGTGCGGGTGTTGGGGGAGGTGTTGGTGGAAGGAGGAAGTTGCTTCGGCGACAAAGATTGGCAATAATTAAGCAACCGCCAATGGTGCCTGGGAGACGACAGAAGAACCATTAGCTACACCTACGAAGCTAACGCGTTTGGGACTGCTCCAAAGGAAAATTTGTTGCGTGGCGGTGGACTCTTTGGTGATAGCAGCAACGACAGGATCCAGAGAAATGAGGAGTGGTTATATCGTGCGTCGTGGAATTCGTGCCCGTTAATGGCGATGCCGCCGCACTTGACTGAAGGGGGGAGCAGGGAATCCGCTTGGTAAGCTGTTGACCTTCAGTTGATCGTCGCGACTAGAGGTTTGATGGCAGAACGAAGATGTGAAGGGAAGTATAACGTTGGAGTGCAGTCACCAAAAGAGAGCACATGCATTTGATTGATGTGGGTGCCCCAAGACATGCCTGATGCTTTCAGCCGCAGCAAACGCGCGTGACCAACAGTTAGTCGCCTCAGACATCTGTAGCCATACTCCTCCGTGTGCTCCAGAGATATATTTTGGGGACTTCTGGTCTAATCAAATCTGTACTTGTCCTCCTCCCCATGATCATTGCACAAGCCCCCAACTCAGATCCCTCGAGCTGGTGCTTGGTTTCACAGCTCTGAGCAGATCAGTGAACAGTAGGGACAAAGGTGAACGAGGAATCGTAGTCGCAACGCTTCCAGTACTTAGGTAGCTCTCTCGTGTCCCCCTTGTGAAGTTCTCTTCAATACCGTGCCGAGCGAAGTTTCAAGGCAAACACATCAAGGCTTTGTATAGAATCAATTTCCTTTGTAAGAGGGCTACAAAAGATTGACTCCGAGACGTTATAAGCCCGGGTTCATAAAATCTCGGAGGCTATTTAGAAGTAATGATTGGGGAGTTGGTTGAAAGACTCAAGGTCTTGAAATAATTCTCAGGTCTTCACTTCTAAATAGCCTCCGGTACAAGTAGCCCTATCAAGTCCTCTGAGTGGTCTTTTCTCCCTACACCATTCTCTAGCTTAGTAGGCTCATGAATCATGTTCATCTTCAACAAGAAAGGGAGAGTATCGAAGATATTCTAAATGCAGCGTTCCTAGATGTCCGATGCCATCTACCATTTCAATACTAATCATGACTCAATTCATTGAGTCTTATATATACCAACCGTAATGCAGTGCTTGAATCCAATCAGGCTTTCATCCTGCTCAGGTGGGCTACCGACAAGAACAAAGGGTCGACCCCTTCTCTGATGATGGAGGCATATCTAGAAGCTACTGAGCTCTGTCAATAGGCACCCCCTCTTGGAGCTGCATCTACGAGCACCTCCTCGTGTTCTGTCATCATTTTGTTATTGAGCGTGCTCCATAGTGTTGCGAGATTCCCCTCCACGTCAGGGGGTCACGAGCATTGAAGCTGAAGGGACATATGGTAGTATGAAATACACTTCCATTCCCACCCATGCACGCACAGACCATTGGAAGCAATTGCAACTGGGAGTTGTGAAGGTACTTGTAACTATCCAACTGTCCTGCACCCTCGCAAGCAGACACGCAGAACACCCTACAGAGAACAACTATTTTTCTTGGCGCCCCGCTGTTAGGGCGCAACCTCTACATCTGCACTAAAACAGGCATTTGTCTCAGTACCTGACTATCCTTGCCAAGGCGCAGAAAATTTTTCTCACAAGTTGGATGGCACCCTTTCATGACAGGCCCCCAAACACGCCAGTGGCCGTCCCAAGGACGACTACTGGCGGCGTGTTCAAATCCCCAGTCCCTAAAAGAACACATGACCCGGCAACCCCAAGCAGGCTCTGCCAGGCACTGCTCGACGACATCAACAGCAGCCCGTCACAGGTCTCTGAGGCTGACTTCACCACTATTTCCCCTCTGAAAGGAAAATCCCAAAATATCAATAATAGCAGCACTATTGATATGGAATTACCTCAGTCAAGCGAAATCCCTACAGACCAAGCCATTAGAGGTGATACAGGGAACAAAGTCTCCTTTTCAGAGTGCCAGAACCAAGTTGCCAAAATACTGGCTAAAGACAAGCATCTTTATGAAGCCAGGATGACAATGTTTCAGGAGTGTGCTGTAGCAGTCGATAAGACACTTGAGAAAGCTGGAACCGAACTATACTCTCATGCCAAGGAGTTTAGCGCTTTTTTCTCCAAATGTCTGAATGAGTGGCTGGAAACCCGAGATCTGATCACAAGAAAGGCCACTTCTGGGGGGATAGAAATAGGGAAGCCTACCATGACCTTCGCCCAAGCTGTCTCCTCTGGCCAACGACAGTATCCATGGACAGTTAACACTACCATAAAGAAAACACAGCCTAGTACCTTTATCACTATCAACCAATTGAAGAGGAAGCAGGATGATCTCCGGGTCTTTGTCCGCATGGATAATAGCCACCTTAAGCCTTATGGAATCAAGTCTACACTAAACAGAAGACTTAAGCTCCACCCTCAGGAGCTTAGAGAAGTGACACATTGTCCTTCTGGTTTTACCTTACACCCAAGGGACAAGCCAACTCAGGCTAAGCTTCTGGCTTCCCAAGAAGAAATTGCCGACATTCTTAAGGCACAAAAGATTGAGACCCACACAGTCTGGCACCATTACAAGGTCGATGGATGCCTAAGAAAGGTCATCAGTGCAGAAGGGTTCACAATCGATATTACCGACACTGCTGTTACTGATGAAGTTGAAGCTCAAACAGGCGACAGACCTTTGAGGTGCATACTCTCAAAGAACACGATTAATTCTGATCCAGAAACCACGTGGATAATCTCTCTGCCCAGTGCAGTAAAGAAACCATTCACGCTTTTTGCCCACTCAATGACCTCAAGGCATATTCAATACACCCCCAAGGTTCATCAGTGTGCAAGCTGCTTCAGATACCATGGTAGAAATTACCGATGCGAAAAGCAAGTATGTGCACACTGCGCCAACACAGTACACCAGGAAGAGTGCGAAAAACCAATCCCAAAATGTGTCAACTGCAAAGGACCTCATGCTGCCGACTTCAAAAAATACCCTGCTCGCCCCAAGGTTATGAAAGGTACCATCCATAAGCACACATGGGAGCAAATCCAAGAAATAAGGCTAGCCAGAGAAAGAGCCAGATCCAAGGCCCTCAATAAAGCAGTCAGAAACCAAGCTGGGCCAACACCCAGCAATAATAACAAGGACATTACAATGCAAATCGACACAACAGATACAACTCATCCCAGAGATGCCGATACCATTGTTGTCAGTCAATGTTAGGTACACCAAACGAAACACATCGACACAGGCATCTAGTCATCCATTCTGTGAACACAGCAGGAGGACAAAAGAGTGCAGGCCTTACAGAGTTAGCCATTAACCTAGCTGACTACAAAGGAGAACAAGCAGACATCATCCTGATGCAAGAGCCCTGGGTTGGCATCCCACCAGGTGGGAGAATGGGAGTAAAGACACATCCCAATTATAAAATATACTCCCCAGTGGATTCCTGGGACAGCGACAGTACACGGCCCATATCTCTCATCTATGTGAGAAAACACCTTTAAGCGGATCAACTTCGGCCTTATGCTACACGAGACATCACCTGGATCAAGGTACAAGGCATTATATTTGCCAGTGTCTACCGGCCTTGTGACAACCCATAAAAAGTGGATGACATTCTGGAAGTATGGACTCCACCTTTTGGCTGCGTTATAGCTGGAGATTTCAATGCTGGCGACATATCCTGGGACTCAAGCAATCCAGGATATCATGGTGGTGTCATACTTGCACAGACTATGGCAGATCATGGACTGGATCTGATTTCTGAACCAGATGTTCCAACACATGATGACGGAAATGTACTAGATCTGGTGTTCTCAGATGTCCCTATGGCTGAAGCCTCAGTCAATGATGCACTTCAGTGCACCTTAGATCATGAGACATTACAAATAATTATTCCAATTCAGGGAGATCTGGACCGAGTCTCTAAGGCCAATTACTGGATAGTACCGGATGACAAACTACAAGAGCTGGCAGATAATGTCCAAACCAGGATCCATGAACTCCCCCGGCTGGGTGTATCCCCTGGCCAGGTGGATGCATTTACACAGAGCTTGATCAACATGATCCAAGGCTGTATCAGGACAGTGGGCAAGAAGCCCCGACAATCTAGGCCCACTGCTTGGTGGAATGATGACTGCAAATCAGCTATTCAGACATATAGAGTCCTTTCCAAACAGACTACAAGTCAAGAAGGGCGGAATTCAGCCCGACAGGGATTTCGTCGCGTGGTTTGCAAAGCTAAGAGAGAGTACTGGCAGACTCTAATCAATTCAGCAACTGAGCCAAAGGACCTATACAGAATCGTCTCTTGGCATAAGTTATCAGCAGGACTGCGTTCCCCTCTAATCATCATAGGAGACCAAATATTCGAATCACAA